GCAAAGGCTTCATGGCCACCAAATCGCTCAGCAAGCACCGCAAAATCCACCGCGACGGGGCGGCGGGACCCGCGACAGCGGCGACAGCGCCGTGCCCCGAGTGCGGCGACAGCGGAGCGACCGCGCATTGCCCTCACCGCCGGCGGCAGCTCCGGGACAGCCCCGAAAGCAGAGCGGGGGTCCCGACCCCATCCCGGCCCCTCCGGGACATCCCCGAGAGCAGAGCGGGGGTCCCGGCAGTGCCCCCAGCCTCATCCCGACCCCTCCGGGACAGCCCCGAGGGCAGAGCGGGGATCGCCGCCGTTCCCCCGCGACCCCTCCGGGACATCCCCGACAGCAGAGCGGGGGTCCCGACCTCATCCCGACCCCTCCGGGACAGCCCCGAGGGCAGAGAGGGGGTCCCGGGAGTCCCCCCGGCCTCATCCCGACCCCTCCGGGACATCCCCGAGAGCAGAGCGGGGGTCCCGGCCCCATCCCGGCCCCTCCGGGACAGCCCCGACAGCGGGGTGGGGGTCCCCGCCGTTCCCCCGCGACCCCTCCGGGACAGCCCCGATCTCAGTGCGGGGGTCCCGGCAGTGCCCCCGCGACCCCTCCGGGACAGCCCCGATCTCGGGGCGGGGGTCGCGGCCCCATCCCGGCCGCTCCGGGACAGCCCCGATCTCAGTGCGGGGGTCCCCGCCGCTGCCCCGGCCCCATCGCGGCCCCTCGGGCGCTCCCGGTACGCGTGCGGGGAGTGCGGGAAGGCGTTCCGGGACGGGGCCGCGCTGCGGCGGCACTGGCGCGTCCACACCGGGGAGAAGCCGTTCGGCTGCACCGAGTGCGGGAAGAGCTTCCGCGCCAGCTCCAGCCTGGTCATCCACCGGCGCATCCACACCGGGGAGAAGCCGTACCCCTGCTCCCGCTGCGCCAAGAGCTTCGTGTCCAGATCGTCCCTCATGAAGCATCTCCGGACCCACCTGCGCCGGGAGCTGCTGGAGGGGGAGCGGCCCTGACCGGGACATTCCCGGGGCACCGGGTGGGGCTCAGCACCGGGGGGCACCGACCCTCGGCACCGGCGGCATCGGGGCGC